GAATGAGTATGCTTTAATGCTAGTTTTGAGCAATTTAAAGTTTCAAATATAAATTGATTTGGATAGCAAATGTAATAAAAACTCACTGGTTTATGAACAGAGAGATATTGATGGTGAAATAAAACTTTGTAAATCTACCAGCACTGTAGAACACTTGATATTCACAGTTGAATTCACAATTGAAAAGGTAAAGACCAATGTTATCTCTTTTGTCTTGGTATTTTTTATTTTTTTAATTTAATTTTGTACTAATAAAAATGTTTTAATTTGAATAAAGCGAGTTGCAAGGTCAATATCTAAAGCACATAGATGTACCTAAAGAAAAAGGTAAAGGAAAAGATCTTGCTGAATTTACCTGTAATGTTCTCAAGAAGTTTAAGAGTGATAAAAGTATCCAGGCAATAATTTTGGACAATACAAGTGTTAAAACAGGTATATTTTTTCTTCAAAAATGCCTGTCTGAAAAATAAAAAAATATAATATATAAATTTTTATTTGGATATATATTTTCATATTACTATATAATTTTAGGTAAAGATAATGGTTTAGTTGCTTGTCTTGAAAGAATATTGAAAAGAAGAATTCATTTAATTGGCTGTCTTCTACATGCTAACGAGTTACCATTGCGTCATTTAATTTCTAAACTTGATGGTTCTTCTAATAGCTCAAATAATTATTCGGGTAATCTAAATAATAATATTATTTTACATTCTTGGTGATAATAATATTATTTAGATTACCCAATTATTAATTAGCAACATTATTAAAATTTATAGAAATTCTATATTTTACTTAAGAGTTTTATTGCTGCTTTACTTTATTCTGATAAGCATAAATAAAAATTATAATTTTGAGTAAAAGGTTATAACTATAAGTATTAATATACTTGATCAAATAATAATAATAATAATATTTAAAAGGACCAGTTGAAAAATCTTTGACAAATCCAATTCATTTAAATTTAACTGTTAACTTCATATAAGTTGAGACAGACATTGAATATCCTCCTCCGTGTGTCATTAAAGACCTCTCTGCTGACCAGAGAATGCTACTGGAATATAGTATTGGAATTTCTAGAGGGTTTTCAGACAATATGTATCTCAGAAAAAAATTGGTGTGTTGTTTTGTAAATCATTTGTTCCTAATATTTTTTCCTTTTATTTTGTTTGTTTAAGGTTTATGTAAATATATATTTATTAATATGTAATTTACTATTAAATTATACTATTATTTAATTTTCATTTATAAAAGATTATATTTTTAGGCCCTATTTGTCATGCAAGGTGGCTAACAACAACAGTATGGATTTTGGTACTATACACAAGAACAATCAATCCCAGTAGAGAGCTCAAAATCTTTGTTGAATATATTCAAACAGTATATAGTCCTATGTGGTTAAATTTCAAAAAGTCTAAAAGTTTCAGAGAGGGTCCTTAACGCATTTTCCAATTTATTCATTGGATTTTGAGGTTGGATACTGAAGTTCAAATTATTACATTGCTAATAATTTATGCCATTCCAGTTATTGATTGAAGATGTAAAAACTGGTCAAAATAAATAAATTTGTATGATATAGACTGAGCCCCCTTGTGTGGAAGATATATCAAATGAGGAGCTTTTGAATATGATTCCGAATCAGGGAAAGGCTCCTAACTTTCCGTGCCTTTCACAAACGGTGAGTGGAGGAGCAGTGAAAACACAAAAGTGGAGGAGCAGTGAAAATGACTTCTGATGCTTGTGGAAAATTTATTAATTTGTTTATTATTATTATTAATTTGGTTCAGTAGTAAAAGTATAATATCATTAATAGTAGTCAAAAGGGACATAATAAAATCTTGTTTTTTTGGGTGAGTGGGGGGAGAAGGAAAGGATTGTTAACACCTGCCCCGCCATCTAGTCACCACCCGTAAAAATAGTTTTCTTTTTTTGCTTCTGTATATTAGAATAAATCCTGATAAAAAGTGCTGTAACAACATAACATTGTTGCTTATGTTTAAATCCGTTTTTCAGTTAATGGCTAATGATTATTGAAAACCGCTTATTGTTTAAGTTATGATAATTATTTTTCCAACACCCTAAAAACAACCTAAAAAATTTAAGTTAAAATTATTTATACAACTTATCCTTATAAACAATACATTCATAAAAGGTTTTGTGCGTTAACGTTTCAAATATTTATTGTGTGACCTCTTAAAGTTTTTACTTTTTAATGATAATATATAATAAATATAAGTCCAAATAAGATAGAATCGGAAATACCTAAAGCTTTTTTATTTTGCCCATAATGTTTTTATGGTCTAAAGAAGGTACTCCAGCTTGAAGTAATTGCAATTTCGAAAAAAAGTTAAAAATCACTGGTGTCTAATATACAGTCCCATGACAATTTATTAGTGTCACCAATATTTTTTTCATATTTTCTTATTCAAGTTGAATTTAACAATGGAAAAGTAATGTAATATATTTTAAATGTATTATTTGAAAGAAGTCAAATATGTATAAAGTTAATTTCTTCAGATTTTATTTTACTATTGGCATCCCTGACATTTCTGGAAGCCATCTTGTCACGACACTATTACTCAACTGTCATCTTTACAAGCACGTGATTGTTTTTCTCTGTCTATTTTATCGGTTTTTTTTAGAATTCTGAAGAAGTAAGTGCAATATTTAGTTTTTATTTGTTTTACTAATATAATTTAAACTTGTAAATAAAGATTTTCTAATATTATTATTACAGAAAGGTCATTTTTGATAATGTTACAACTCTAACCTCAAAAATCTTGTATTTTTTAGTAATGGGTAAAAAAGGAGATCTTTCACCAACAAAAATTGGATTTATAAAAGCATTGATAAATGAAAAAACACTTTCACAGCGTGAAATTGCTAAAAAATGTGGTATTTTACATACCTCAGTACAGAGAGTTGTCAAAATATTGGATATGGGTGATAACTGTTCACCGAAAAGAAAAGGTAAATGTGGTAAAAAAAAATTTTTGACTCCTCGTTGTGAAAGAACATTGTCGAAAGTAATAAAGGAGGATAGGACTGCTACTAATTCTTTCATAAAAAATAAATTACAAGCCTCTGGAATTCAAATGTCGACCCGAACATTGCAGAGAAGACTCAATGATCTCGGTTATAATAGTAGACGGCCAGTAAAAAAGCCAAAGTTAACAATCAAAATGAAAGAAAATAGTTTGAAATGGGCTCTGAAGTATAAAAACTTTACAGTAGAAGATTGGAAACAGGTTTGTGTTTAAATTATTTTAATATTTTGATATGAAAACTCACATGGAATGAGAAATTATAAAACAATATTTTATTTCAGGTTTGCTTTAATGATGAGAGCACATTCTAAGTGATGACAAACAAAGCTCAGTATGTTCGCCGTAAAATATCGGAAAAATATCACGAAGACTATGTTATAAAAACTGTGAAATATCCGACTTCTGTCATGATTTGGTCCGTGATAAGCGGAAAAGGTTTGGGTCGACTCTACGTTGTAGAGGACATTATGAGGCAAGACCAGTATCGAGATGTCTTGCAACATCGATTGTTACCACAATTAAGGAATTAGTTTGGTGAAATGGAGAAATTTATATTTATGCAAGGTGGTGCCCCTTGCCATACTGCAAAATCTATAAAAAAGTTCCTCCCAGAAGAAAAAGTTCCATTATTGGATTGGCCAGGTAACTCACCAGACGTCAATCCAATAGAAAATGTTTGGGAACTCCTGAAGAGAAAAATTTCAAAAGAAAAGATCACAAACAAAGTTAATTTGATTGAAAAAATTATATATTATTGGAACCACGATATAAATTTAAAAGAAATGTCATTAAAATGTATTGAAAGCATGCCTAGACGCGTCCAAACAATTATTGATGCCAAAGGCGGGCTCACAAAATATTGATACAATGTATGTCTATCATTAGGTTTATTAATTTTTGTCGTTATTTTATAGATTTATTTGGTTTTATTGTGTATATGAATGTTAATCAATACACCTTTTTGTTATGTCAGTTCCGGTCCTTATATTGTATAATTTTTTCGACCAAAATCAAAACAGTATATAGTACGGACGTTGTTGCGTTTTAACCCAAACTAAGCATTTCTTTTAAACTATGGTATACACATGTGTTGTTAAAGATTGCCATATCTCTATTAGAGATATTATACACTGGAAGATTTTATTCTGTGAAGAACATGAGTGTCTTAGAAAATCTGATTTATGTTCCTGTAATCCACCTTTCAGGTTTGTTGTTGAGACTAACTCAACTCTTCTAGCTCAACTTAAGTTTAATGTGTTACTTTTAAAAGTTTAGAAATAAGTACACTTTTGAGTAATAGTAAAAAGTCAAATATGTTGTGAAAAAAAGCTTGTATAAGTTTTATTTTGCTAAAAGTTTTTTTTTATATAAATATGTAGTAATTTTTTAAACTTTTAATGAAGGCTGTTTCCATTCCCTACCACATTAAAATGCTCAATTAAAAGGAACACTTGAATAAAATTAATAAACAGAAAAACAAAAGAAGGAAAATACTGGGAACCATCAAAAGACAGTCGTGTTTGCTCCAACCATTTTGTTGACAAAGAACCAAGCATAGAATTTCCTAACCCAACTTTAAATCTTGGATATAATGCAACTGAAAAATCTGAGATGCTTTTATCTACAGGTAAAAAAAGAATTATAAACTATCAAAATGAACTAAATAACTCTAAGGAAGTAAAATGTTTTGTTGATTCAAGTGCATCTAAAAGTTTTGAACTTGTCATAAATGTACAAAACTCTGTTACATTTGAAAAATCAAATTCCAATTATGAAAAAATTAAAAAGTTTTTGAGCATTAAAGATTTATTATTTTCATTATTGGTATTTATTATTCACAGTTTAACAAAACATCTACTTGAACTTAAAGGACAGTTAACTTGCGCAAAACCACTTTATAAAAAACTATTAACAGAAAAAAATATAAAGTTTTATACTAATCTTGAAAATTTAGGAATGTTTCATAAACTTCATGAAAAAATTTCACCTCTAATAAAGAGACATTATCGTCAAAGGGATGAAAGCAGAGAAAGGCGTAATTTTCAATCAACACCAGAAAAAATGGGACCACCAAGAAAATTGGTTTCACAAGATGAAATGCTTTTATGTTTAATGAAACTCCGACTGGGGTTACTAACAACAGACTTATCAGACCGCTTTGGTATTTCAGAAGGATTATGCAGCAGTATCTTCAAATCTTGGTTAAGGGCCTTAGCAGAGTATTTAGAATGTTTTGTTTATGCACCAGACATTGGAACAATAATTGCAACAACACCTGAAAGATTTCATCAGTTTAAAAACTTATTTGCTATTATTTATTGTTCAGAAATATTCATAGAGACACCAAAAGACTTGGAACTTCAGAGTGCAACTTAGTCTGAATATAAGCATCATAACACCTTAAAGTTTCTTATTGGTGTTGCACCAAATTCAAGTATTATATTTGTGTCAAAAGCATTTACAGGTCGAATTAGTGACAAAAAGATAACTCTTGACTCTAAGTTTCTTGATCTTGTTCCAAGTTATAGTACATTGATGGCAGATAAATGTTTTAACCTTATTGAAGAATGTGTTGCAAGAAAAATTTATTTTATTACTCCATCTGGTCGTAGAGGCACCTCACAGATGATAGCAAGTGATGTAAGCAAAACTAGTGCTATTGCTAAAGTTAGAATATTAGTTGAACAGGTTATAAGAAGATTAAAAACCTTTCGAATTATATCACAGGAAGTGCCAATAATTTAATACCATGTATTGATGATATTCTGGTAGTTTGCTCTGCATTGTGCAATTTTAAAGAACCTATCATGACAGATTAAATTTATTTTTAAGTTTATGAAACTTTATTTTCCAGTAATAAACCAAATGAAATAAAAGCAATAAATTCTTTTAACAATTTTTAAATTTATTTCTTTGTCTTTCTTAAACTTCTGCCCTTTCTAGAAAGGATTCTTAACCTAAATTTTGACAAATCGAAATTTACAAGATTTTTTTAAAGGTTATTGCAATTGTAATGCTTGCTGAATATTTAAAAAAAGGTTTTCTTGAAATTATTGAAAGAGTAATTTTATGTTAAATATAGATTCTTATTGGATTGGATTAGTTCAGTTGATATTTTAGAAAGGTTGAAAAAATTATTTATTCAAAATATTTTATTCAACAAGATAATATTTTATTTAAGGTATTTTTGAATAGACTAGGCCACCAGTGACACAAAAATACTTAATCTTAGTTAATATATGATACAAAAACAGGTCAATGTGAATTCTGGCACTGCTTACCAGCAAATAATATCTGAAAGTTTGACTTTCAGATATTATTTGTTGAGTTTTTGATAGAGCACAACTAATATTTATAATTTACGTTTACCTTGTGGTCCGCATAAAAAGTTCTTATGGACCCTCTGGGGTCCATGGACCACCGTTTGGGAACCACTGGTATAAATATTTTAAAAATGTATCAAATCTAATTAAAAAAAAAAGTTATGAACAACTATTAAGCGTAACAATGCTTTATCCATTAATATGCTAAATTTAGACAGCTTAATGCCTTATTACCATTCCTCATAGTGAAATGTAGAAATTTTCAGATATGAAATAACTTTTAGCTTTCTATATAAACTTCACTCAAAAAATGTGTTCTTTAATATATATGTTTATTTCACTGCACGATTAGTCACCCAGTAAGCACTATGTGTTTAATATGTCTAAGAATTGTATTAATACGTTTTTTCATCTCCTTCAAAATGTCTTGTGCCTACTAGGCATTTGATGTTGGTTATACTCTGCCGGGGTTATTTCAAAAAGACTGACAGTCCCATACATACACAAAGTTTTGTTGCAGAGCTATATGCTTTTTAGTATTTCTTTTTTTCAAATATGCAACTTTTTCTAATTTATCCTCAGATTACAAATATGTTTGGACTCAAATACCTTCCCTCTCATTTAAGCTAAAACCTCTTACTTGTCAAAAAAAAAAAAAAAAAAAACTTATGCATAAGTATGTCAACCTCGGTTTCCATAAAAGCATTTTTTGATAAGGGTTTGGTTTTGAAAATAATATTAGTTTGTAAGAAACCATTTTTAATACTTTAATTTTTTTTTTCTTAAAAATTTTCAAATAAAAACGATTCTGCTGAGACCCAGATTGATATATAAATAATTTTTTTTGCACAATATTACGGGTTTTACACTAAATATATTTGAAGTCTAACATAAAAGAAGGAAAATGATTGCATAATTACAATCGCATACATTTGTTGAAAAAGTTTAACATTTTAACTTAATCTTTCAAAAAGTCATAAGAAAAGAAAAGGTTAAAACTTCACAAATTTATAAATTATTTTATTGAATAAGATAAAAATGAAGATTTACGTACAAAGTTTTACATATGAATAATAAGTCATTTTTGACCAAATGACTAAAAAAATAATATTTATTTGTATAAAAAATCTGGTTTAGAAATTTTAATTAAGTTTTTTTCACTGTGGATTAATTCATATTTTTTCTTCAAAGATCCACTTAAAATTTTTGGAGCAACTAGTTTTCTCCAAAACAAGCATAACTTTTTGCATATATTGACCCAAAAAAGTTCATCAAAATTAACTTTAATAGTGATACTACCTTCATATGTAAATACTAAAAAGTAACAGTATATTTTATTTGTTATTGCCATTTGGCCATGAACTTGATAATAATATCCGCTTTTTTTTCTCAATACTATTTCTTGATTTTTGTTCATTTTGATATTTTTATAGTTATCAGTTGATGGAATTTGACCAATCAATGATGCAGGGCTTTTAATTTCTAACAATCCATTTCCATGAAAAGTGCAACTAACTTCAAGATCAGGACTGCAAGAAATAAAAGGATATTGTTTAAGAATTAACATTCCAGGGTCATAAAATGTACAAATTGAATAGTTTTTTTTGAACAATGAAGTAAACTTTGCCTTAGCATGGACTTCACAATTTAAACCATGCTTCATTTGCCATGTTGTATTTACTGTTTGATAACCCATTATGAATGCATTATTAACAAAATGGTGTTCTAAATCAAAACCATGTTTGTCAACAGTATCAACAATTGATTTGAATCGCGATGCTGTAACTCGTCCAACACGATGATTATGCCACATAACACTATTTGACTGTTCAACAGTTTCTTTATAAAGGTGTTGTATTTGCTCATCTGAATAAAAAAGTGAGTCTGCAAAAAAATCAGACAAATAACTAATTTCAAGTTCTGGATCACAATTTTCTATAAAACTCTTGCCGATTTCTAAAATTGTAGGTACAAACAAATTTATCTTTATTTTTTTCTTTGCACACATATTTTCACAAAAACAACTTTTTGGAATAAGATCTTTAATATTCTTATAAAAGTCCTCTCGAACACATTTACTATCTAAAAGAGCTTTTACTTGGCTGTCAGACATTACATTAAAATTTCTTTTTAAATTTGATTTTTCTTTTTGGAGTTCCGAGCTCTTTTGAATAGCTTTGTTCAAATAATTATCTTTTGAAAATAAGAACTTGTATACTTCTGCTGGTTCAATTTGTTTTTTGAGTGTAGGTATATTCCAGTTAGATAAAGCACCAGTGCAAGTTATATGAGAGACCCCTATAAGAATAGCAGCTTCAATCGGAAATAATAATCCTGCTACATGATTACAACTACCAAGAAGACCAGCGGGACATGTGCAGTAAGCGTTTAATATTTCACCACCGACAGCATCTTCCTTGTCTTTTCGCATAATAATCCAAATAGTGTATTGCTTCATTAAAACTCGTTGGGATGCCGTACATTTTGTATAAAGAATACAAAATGTTGAATTTTCATTAATGTAATTCAAAAAAACTTCACTAATGAATGAATTGGTAAAATATCTATAAGCTTTTCCCTGTTTATATTCACATTCAATGCGTGTAATCAAATCAGATTTTTTCCCAAGAACTTTTGCATAAAACCTTGAAATATCACTAAAATATAAATGAGGCCAGAGCTTAACTCCATCTTTTTCATTAAACCAACCAGTTTTTAAATCAATGGGATCTGGCAAAACCTCATTCTTAATTTGAAGTTTTTGCTTATACTCATACAAAATACTTCTTTCTATGTGCTCCTTTTCAGGGTCAACTTCAGCTCCTTCTTCATATGCAGCAAATGCACTAAAAGTAAAATTAAAATTTATGAAGATAAAAGTTAATAAACTTCATTACTAAAAATAAAAGTTATAAAACTTCATTATAAAATTATCATTTCATATCACATAATGCAAAATTATGCATAGTTTGTATAAATCATGGCATGAGTACATAAACTATGCACACACACAGATATATATATGTAAATATATATATATATATATATATATATATATATATATATATATATATATATATATATATATATATATATATATATATATATATATATATATATATATATATATATATATATATATATATATATATATATATATATATATATATATATATATATATATATATATATATATATATATTTATATATATATATATATATATATATATATATATATATATATATATATATATATATATATATATATATATATATATATATATATATATATATATATATATATATATATATGCATGTATATTAGATATGTTAAAATATTTATATAAATTATAAATGTATTATACATTATTATAAAATCTTATACATTGTATAAGATTTTAAAATAACAAGACTTATATTAAGAAAAGATAGCTTAATAACTCACCGTGCAGCCAATGTGTCAAACGATCCATTAATTGATTTCTTTCGTAGAGACAAAAATGCTGTTAGAGCAACGTATTCCAAAGTTTAAAATCTTGTAACGAAAGAACTTTAATTACAAGTTCGTCAGAATTAGAACTTTCTGCCATATTTGATATATTTGTTACTCGCGATCGCGTTAGGTTTGTTATGATTTTGGTCGAAAAATGTGTAAAATAAGGTACGGAACTGACATTGTAAAAAGGTGTATTAAAACTAAAAAGTATTTGAATACATTTTAATTGTTTACTGCATTTTATAACCCCAAGAAATCATTTATACAGAAAAAATGTAGGTGGCACTAATATATAATACTTATAAAATAAGTGAAGTGTTTTTAGTAAAAAATAGGTTACTGGCGCGCAAATTGTAAATAACTAAATTAAAAACTACATATTAAATTCTATTACATTTTCTGATAACCACATAACACACTTAAGTAGCTATTGCTGAAGTTACATTTTATTTAATAGATGCAAATGTAATAACTAAAATTAAAATCAACCTTGAAGTCGATAAGATACATTTTATCTTCGGTATTAGTTGCCATTTTGAAAAATACTGAAAATATGCAAATTAGCTGCGCTTGCGAATAATAACTTTTCACTAATTTGGTCAGGGTAAAGTTAGTTGAAAAAGCTGGTGATATGTTATAAATGTCATTGGGTTGACTATACACTTAAGTTATATTTAAAACGGAATAATATATTAGCATTTTTATAAACTGAGCAAAATTGGGGTAATTAAGGGGACACAACCTTTAACAATATCAAACGACAATAAAGGCAATTCTTGTGAGCGTCGTAGTGATTACTTCAGGTTTCTTAAATAATATTTTTCAATTAAATTTAATTTGCTATTATAATGATTGTAAACTTTTAACTTATAATAGTAAAAATTAAAAGTAGCAACAAACCCGATTAAAAGTTTTCCAATATTAGTATTGTACTAGCAAAACGCAACGTAATACGGGTTTCGGTCGGTCTGTTACATAATTAGTTTACAGTGGCTGTCTTCCACAAGTTAATGTTGGAAAACCTTGACTATTACCCTTATAGAAAAACACCTTCAGCTTGAAAAAGTCAATCTATCTGTAAATTAACATAAAAAGTATAAGGAGGTAAAATAATTTACTAATTACTACTTAACATTATTTGAGTAATTTACATCTGACTTAGGTCTTTACAGTGTAAGACAGAATCATTTTCAACGACTTTCCTAAGTTGAACACAAAACGTTTTTAGTTACTGACACTAAATAACAAGTGCATCATGCTTTATTTGACGAAATTATTAACTAAATCCTTGCAATAATTTTATAAAATGAACCATTAAGATTACAATGAAGTTAACTTAGCAAAAAGTAACCCGTAATACGGGTTATGATCGGTCTGTTACATAATTAATTTATAGTGGCTGTTTTCCACAAAGTTGCAAATTTATAACTAATACCCTGTTAGAATAGTGCCTTTAAATTGAAGAAGTTTCTCTCTCGGTAAAATTAACATAATAAGAATATGAGGAGGCAAGTTAATTTACTAATTATTATTTTAAACATTAGAGCAATTTAAAAATGACATATCAGTGTAATATTAGAAAAGGTCATATCAGTGCAAGGCATAACAATTTATATCGACTTTTAATTTCAACACAAAATAATAACATTTCGCCATTCTTTTTTAATATCAAATAAATATTTGAAATATTTTTTCTAACATAAACCTTAATTATTTATTAAGATTATCATCAAGTTAACTTATATTATATAATGCAGGAGTTATTAACTTTCGGTATCCCCTCTCAGGTTTAATTTTTCTTTAGAAAAGAAAATGTTATCTTGACAACGTTTAATGCACTTAACTAAATTAATTTATTAAAATTAACTAAGTTTATTATAAATATCTAAGCAATTGAGTACAAAAACGTTTTAAAAAAATCAAATAATATACAATGAAACATGTGTATAACAAATTTTTTTTAAAAATGTTAGCTTTGATCTTTTTTATTGCGTCATACGACAAACCTAAAATTAAAATTGTTACGGATAAGTAGGCATTAAAAAAGAATTAAAAAAAGTAGACTTAAAAAAGAAAGAAAAAATGACTGAAAAACAATTTACCTGCTTTTGGTAACCTGTTATCGTACTTCAGGTGCTGTCATGATGCAACATTTCTTTTTCAACTTTTTAATGACGCTATTTAATGTTGGCATTCAGTAAGCTTTAGTTAAATTTGGAAGACATCACAATATTTTTGAAATATTTAAATTAAGAGCAAAATAAAATGTTTTAAGGGGCTAAACTATAAACATTTGGGATATAAAATCAAATTGAGATATAAATTAATTGCATATATATAGCTTGTAGGAAATTTTAAAAGCAGCAACTGCAATATTATTTTAAACAATTGAATGTAGCATCATTATACTATAATAATTGGATAAATCAATTTAATTGTATTTTAAGTTAAATATAGTTTTTATTTTAAATAAAAAAGAAGAATACAATTCCAATATACGGCAGAATATATAAAAAAAAATGCATATTTAAAACAAATAAAATTACAAACTCAACCAAAAAAATTACAATATAAAAAATTAACCTAAGAAAAGGCAGCAACAAAAAGTTATAAATAACTTTTACCATAACTGATAGAAGTTATTTATAACTTTTTTATTGCTGTTTGATCTTCGGTGTCTTCCAACACCCCAGTATGGATGAGCCCTCCATTTGAAGAAGGACTCATCCATATCGCCATTAGAACACTACTTATTGAAAGACCTCTCTGAAAGAGGCCCTTGGTGTTGGGAGCGATATAGTATATATATGTCTTATGTCAATTGATCTAAAATAATAAATAGAAGAATATAAATAAAGTTATGAATATTTGAAATTTTATTTAATCAAAATATAATGCATAACCTCACTATTTTTAATCGTAACTGAAGACGATGCTTTAAAGATTAAAAAAAAAGTTAGTAAATTAAAAAAACTTAATCATGTCAAAAATACTATTTTAGTAAAAAATTAAAGTAAAACAGGAACAGTTACTATGTCATATTTATTGAAAATTATAAAAATTTGCGTTTCCATTTAATAATAATATAATCTATAACCTCACCAGTTTCATTGATGACAGCAGACGATGCTTAAACATTTAAAAAAAAAGAGTTAATTAAAAAAGGTTAAATGTGAAAAATTTTAATTTTAATAAAAGTGTAAGTAATATAGGAACAGTTAAAAAATATCACATCAATGAATTAACTCTTTCACATATTGCACACATTTCTCCATAAAATATAAAGCACAGCTCTACCAGTTATGCCTCTTCCAGTCACTAAAGACAAAAAACATACCTCATAATAATTGATAGAATGTTTACATATAAATAACGTTAACATGGTTAAATTTATATTTTTTTTTACCTAATCCATTCATTTCCTCCATAAAGTTGTCTACGGTAAGAAAAAAGATAACTGAAGCAAGAACTAACTAAAAATAACTATAAGTTAAACCAAAACTAAGAACTAAAATAAACATTATAAATCTTAATATTAATGTCTCATTTATTTAACTATACTAATCATGTAATTCATACTTTTTTGATCCAACACTCCTAGATTTTGATCCAACACTCCTAGAAGAAAAATAAAATAAAGCTAAGGTACTTGAAGTTTTAAAATTCCAGTTTCAGTAAAAATAAATAAATTCCTAATAACAAATATCTAATAGCAATAACACTGACATGTTTCACTCTTCAACTCTGTGTCTAAACAATAAAAGCACTTAAATGTAAAGACGTTAAAATATCTGCCGAATTTTTTAAAAATAAATTCACCTAACTTATGTAAATAATACCTTCATAAGCTCTCTCTTTATTAACTAAAGAAAATAATTCATAATTAAACTAATTTAATATAAAATGACAAAAATCTGTCTCAATATAAATTTTAAGTATCTTTTCTTAATTAATTATAATTTTAAGTAGAATGTGAATTTTTGGGCTTATTGCACAAAAGTAAAAAACCTACTGTTTTATATTTTTTAAATCAACAATAACATTTTCAAAAACATTTCAGTTATTTTAGTTATTTTGTTAGAATTTAAAAGTCTTTTTACTAACTTACTAACTCTATTTTCATTGTGGTTAACTAAACAGAAAAACAAACAGTTGGTAGTAAATTTACACTTTAGTAGTAGATTGAAAAGAATCTTTGATCTAATTAAGATACTATATTAGAAAGATTCTTAAAACCTGAAATTTTTAACCACCTTCAAAAAAAACTGATATATGATAAACAATTTTTTTTTTTTTTTTTTAAATAGTAAAAATGCTGTTTAACTTACTTTTCCCAATAATGCTCTCCTCATTTAAAAAGAAAAGCAAAAATCGATTCTTCCTAAATCCACTTAAATTATTTCAATAATAAAATAAATATTTAATCTTTCTCCATTGAATTATTTTACAAAACATTAAAAATCGTTTAAACCATATGATTACTTTGAACATACATTTTTTTATATATTTAATTTAAATATATACATATACGAACTGCAATTTATAACATTTAATTATAACAAAATGGAACAAAACTTACTTCTTAGTAGTTCAGCGACTTAAAAAAAACATATATTTAAGAACTAACTACGTAACATGTTACAAATCCGTAACAAATCAAACATCTAAATAAATACAAACCTTTATTTTCGACGTTTTGGGACATTCTCTTATTTAATAAAAAAATAAAATAACTATATTTAAAAACAAATTAAATAAAGGTAATACCCACGTTAAGACATCTCCTAAACATTTACAATCTGGAATAGAATTACTTCTTGCTATAGAATAAATTCGTCCTTGTTCATTAGATCTTCTTACATTTTGGCGACGATTAACTTCGCCTCGGTCAAGCCTATTTCTTTCATTTTGGCGACGATTAACATTATCTCGATTAAGCCAACTTCTTTTATTTTGTAAATGATTAATTTAATCTCGCCTGAGTCTATTTCGTTCATTTCGTCTACGATTATTT